TAAACTAATCAGACTAAATTGAACTAGTCAGTGTAAATTAAACTAGTTAGCTCAGATTAGCATGTTTGTCTGAATATTCTCTTCTTCTGTGGTGTTTTATCTCAGCAGGAGGAGTCTGGACAGCAGAATGTCAACGGAGAGACAGACGGACCACCTGAGGCCAGGTACACACACACACACACACACACACAGTACAGTTTATATGAATTGTGTTTTTTCACTCAGGTCTTCGTGGCATGACGATTATCTCACGTACCACGACCCAAACTCCAAGGTAACTACAACAATGACAACAATGTTTTGTGATACAGTGAGTAACATCGTTAAAATGAAATCATGGCGGAATCAGTAAGCTAGCTAGTTAGCCAACAAGCTAACTAACTAGCTAGTCTGTCTGTGTCCTGGTTTATCTGTCGTTCAACGACTCACTGAACACTGTCTCTCACCTGTCTCTCTCCCTGTCTGTCTCTCTACCTGTGTCCTTGTCTGTCTCTGTACCTGTCTGTCTCTCTACCTGTGTCCTTGTCTGTCTCTGTACCTGTCTGTCTCTCTACCTGTTGTTCTGTCTATCTCTCTCCCTGTCTCCCTGTCTGTCTCTCAGTGTTTTGCAGTGCGCTCTCTGGGCTGGCTGGAGGTGGAGGAGGAGGACCTGTCTCCCGGTCGCAGCAGTCTCGCTGTCAGTAACGTCATCCAGCAGCTGTCTCACTGCAGCAGCCCGGAGCAGAGAGACAGGCAAGGGGCCTGGGGGGAGGTGAGGAAAATAAGTTGGGGGGGGTGGGTGGAGGAGGAGCTTATTTTCTGTCTGTCTGTCCTGAGTTTTATATGTCAGACAGACTTTGAAGAACTAGCTTCAGGATCTGGATCACACCTGTAGTACACTGACCCGTCTGTCTCTCTGTCTCTACCTGACTGTCTGTCTGCAGGGTCGAGAGATGATGCTGGTTCTGAAGAAGGACACTCTGACTCTGTTGGACCCTTTAGACCACACCCCTCTGCACTGTCAGCCAATCATCAACATCCGTGTGTGGGGGGTGGGCTGCAACAACGGCAGGTGAGCCAATCAGACCGCGTACACCTGTCCAATAAACATGAGACAGAGGTGGAGGAGGTAGGAGGAGCTAGGCTAACAGTTTCCCTCTGCTTCCAGTCTTTGCGCTAAGCTAGGCTAACTGTTTCCCCTGCTTCCAGTCTTTGCGCTAAGCTAGGCTAACTGTTTCCCCTGCTTCCAGTCTTTGAACTAAGCTAGGCTAAGCAAAAAGGCTGGAAGCAGGGGAACTGTTAGCTTAGCACACAGACTGGATGCAGGGGGAAGTGTTAGCTTAGCTTAGCACACAGACTGGATGCAGGGGGAAGTGGAAGCTAGGCCAACAGCATGCGCTCACAGTTAGATGTTTCTGCATGCTAAGATGTAAGAATCAAACTCACCTTTCACTTTGTTTACCTGTCTGTGTGCACTAATGCTGTCACTCTCTCTGTTTCTTTAACACGCCCATCCCCCCCACACTCCTCCACCTGGACAGGGACAGGTAAACCTCTACCTTTACCTCTTCATACACCTCCTCTATATGTCAGGGCCATTTATTGATCTCACCTTCTGATCACATGATCATGAGTCCATCAGCTGGTCGGCCACAACATGACAGTGTCTGTATGTACGTATGTGTGTATGCATGTATGTTTGTGTGTGTATGTGTACGTATGTGTTGCGTTCAGGGACTTTGCGTTCGTGGCGGGCGATAAGGACAGCTGTGTGCTGAAGTGTCACGTGTTTCGCTGCGACGCTCCGGCCAAAACCATCGCCACGGCGCTGCATGAGATGTGCTCCAAGGTGAGTCCTTAAATTCACCTTAAGTTTACCGTGTTAGCTTAGCATAGTTAGCATTAGTCAATTAGCCGTCGTGTTGATTTCTCCAAAGATGATGTCAGAGAAGACGTTGATAAGGCCGTCTCGCTCGCTAACGATGGAGAGCATCTCACCTGAAGACCTGCCCAGACAAGGTGACTCACCTGTTCTCTGACATCACCTGCTGCTGCTCTCTGATTGGCTCCCTGTTGATTGTCTGTTGCATGTTTCAGTGGAGTTTCTGGAGGCGGTGCGGCAGCAGGTCCAGAAGTTTGAGGTCCAGTACATCGGTAACCTGCCGGTGTCCAGAGCGATGGGTACACACACCTGAACACACACCTGAACACACACCTGAACACACTTGAACACTTTGTTCTCTGGGTCTGTAGCTTCTGAATCATTTGTGTGATTCCTGTAAAGAGTGATGTCATGAGGTGTGCTGTCCCCACAGTAACCAGCAGGTGTCAGGACTTTACCTGTAACCTGTGCTGCAGGTATGGAGGTGTTGAACCGAGCGATAGAAAGCATCATGAACTCCACAGACAGAGACGAGTGGGAGCCGACAGTGATCCACGTCACGGATAACATCCTGTCTCTGTGGAGGGGAGAGGTACCGCCATCACTACTACACCTCTGTTAGTCCACCTTGGGAGGGCAGAGCTCACTCTGTCTCCTCTCTCTCTCTCTCATTGGATCCTGACAGGAAGGGGAGGAGCCTCTGTGGGAGTGTCAGGTACGTTTCCTCACCTTCCTGGGCGTCGGCCACGACAGTCACACCTTCGCCGCGATCGTAGACGGCGGCATGCAGAGGTTCGAGTGTCACGTGTTCTGGTGTGAACCGGATGCTGGGATCCTGTCTGAGGCGGTCCAGGCGGCATGTATGGTGAGTAACACACCTGTACCTTGAGAGACCTTAAAGCACCTGAACTCTGAACGTGTTTAAATCGAGTCCTTCTTGTCCATCAGGTCCAGTACCAGAAGTGTCTGGTGGCTCAGACTCCTCCCCCGAGGACCAAGTCGTGGCGTGTGTCCTCGTCTAAGGTCAAGCGGGCGAACTCCGTGGACTCCTTCCCTCCTCTCACCTCCCGTCTCCATGGCAACAGCAGCGGCAGCATGTTGACGCCCAGGATAACCAAGGGCAACGGCAACGGCAACACGAGGAAGGGGATGCTGACGTTCTTTGAAACTTTTCGTAAACAGGCCGCCAACTCCTAATGAGGGGGGCGGGGCCACCGGAGAGACGAGGTCATCAGGTCGGTGATACTCTGAGACTGAGATGTGTCTGAACGGACAATTCTACCGATTCTACCGCCTCCACGTCACCAGCAACACCTGGGAGACCACTGTGGCCTCTCATTGCCTCCCCTTGTCTCTCCTTGTCTCCCCTCGTCTCCCGTTGTCTCTTGTTGCCTCCCCTCATCTCCCGTTGCCTCTTGTTGTCTCCCATTGCCTCCACTCGTGTTGCCTCCGCTTGTCTTCCCTTGCTTCCCGTTATTGGACCAGAAATTCTCCTGTTTGAACTCTGATCAGTCGTTAGCTTAGCTTAGCTTAGCAAGTAACAACTTGAAGCTTTAAGGATGCTAACGTGATGCTAATATGAAGCTAACGTGGGTTTTCCATGGACCAGGAACAATGAACAACTGCTGGACCTATTAACACGAGTGGATCCGGATCAGAGACTCAGTCCTCCATCACAGCTCATGTTCTACTCCTCAGGATGATAAATGTGAAACACATGAAGAAGAAACTACAACTAGGATGTTTCATGATCCAGAGAAGAACAAAAGCTTCATATTCAGAGACATTTTAAAGTGTTTTGTAGCTGCAGGAAGTGATTCTGATCAGCAGAGGGCAGAAATACTGACGTCATGTCTATCTATTCATTGACCTGCTTCTTCTTCTTCTTCTGTCTCGTGGGACGGCAGATAAGACGGTTCTGGAAGGTTCTACAAAGAGAGAAAAGAACGAGTTTATTGATACAGAACATTTCAGACAAAATACATATTATATAAAGTCGTTTTGTCAAAATATTACAAGAACTAAGTAATCATTTTAGCAGAAAAAAGTTGCAATAATTAGAGAAAAAGAGTTGCAATGATTTGTGTAATATTTGGACAAAAACATTTTCTAATGTTTCTAAAGAACTTTTTCTTGAAACATTAAAACTAATTACACAAGAGTTTCTTCTTAAATTCTGAAGAAACATTGAAATCTTTTGACTCTTTCCTTGTTTTTTCCAGAGTTCTGATTCTCCGTCATATGAAAGTAATTCAGAATACTTTTATTATAAATATATAAACTCTACAAAGAGTCCAGCATGTGTCTGATGGTGCATTAAAGGAATGACAGCTGAGCGGCTCCTGAACGCCTCGTGAGCCGGTCAGTGAACGCACCACAAACAGATCTACATTTACTTTAATGGAAGTCAACGGTTTGACTCTTTGAGGTTTGCATGAGGAGACCAGCTGCCTCCTGATTGGCTGCAGCACCTGTAGATAGAAGCTTTGGTGTGTTTATCTCAGAGAGTTTTTCTGTCTTCTAGTCTGTATATCTGAAACAAACCCATGATGTCATGTAGAAAAGAACCAAAAATAAACAAAGTTAACGACTTCTGACACGTTTCTCCTCTTTGTAAAGTAGAAGTCAACATGCTAACAGCTACATGTAAGTAGTCTGATCTGAACTACTGATACTTTTGTAAACGGTGTAATACATTTTGTATCTTAATAATATATATCGGGGTTTACAGCTGTTTCTAAGGTTAAAGATCAGGAGATTATTACTGTGTTCTTATCATTAAAGAGGTTCATGAAGTCATTACTAGAGGTCTATAGGAACACACGGCTCAACAGAGCTGTGACTCTCTCAGCCTGGCTACAGCGCTGAAGAGAAACCTGGGGTTGTCCGGTCATTGTTGGTCAGCTGGTCGTTACAGACCAATCAGAAGAGAGGAACAACCGGCTGTGTTTAAAGCTCACCCGAGGACGTAATAGAGGACTGAAGGAGACACTTTAGTGAGCGGGGCTAAAACTCATAGGTCCGTCCTACAATGAGTTCAAAACGTTTTTATGTTGCTGTAAATATGATTTATTTCTATATTGCGTGTCTTCCTGCATCTTCAGTTTGACATTTACTATTCTGAACCTCAGCATAAACATTTAGACTAGAGCCTCGCTTAGTTTATGTTATTGTCATAATATCTACAAGTAGATTGTCCTTCAGTGGACATTATATTTGAAATGTCAGATATAATTACTCCACCTCAATGAGTCGTCACTAAATGAATGATTTCTCTCTTCAGTTGTAAGTGAGTGGCTCTTAAAAAAGCCTTTGTGTTGGATCGTTAGATGAATGAGAGGCAGTATTTAAAACTCATCTGAGGACGTAATAGAGGACTGATGGAGACACTTTAGTGTGCGGTGCTGAAACTCATCGGTCCGCCCCGCATCCTCTTTCCTTTTTCATTATTATTTATTAATTTTAATGATAATAAACA